AACAACATTCCTAATCTCCAAATTTGTGTATGCATTCGTAATCTCCTTTACAGAAAATCTCTCAGTAACAAAGTACAAACTTTAGTGCAGATGTTGTAAGCTAAAACACTTTTCATGAATCTGTCCGCCCGTAATTTCGTCTTCAATGAGGACTAAACAACCTTTAATCGAAACAGCCAATGATGCAGTGGTGAGAGAGTAAATAAAGTTCTTCACGCCCGCCATCAACCAAACTGCCGAGATTAGTTTTTCGTTCCCGCTCTCGTATGTTTCGCAAATCGTGACAAAACTATGTCGCGGTTCTTCGGAGCCTTACAAGAATTGTAAATTAGGGATGATTTATTGGGCGTGTTCAGTAGCGGCTCCCTCAGCTCCGAACGGAGTCACTCGAGTCGGAATCCTCAGAGCACCTACTGAACGGCCAAAAAAACCGCGGCTCCAAACCTGCTTCTACGCTATTTCCGCTTCCTCCCCTGTGCCAGACGGTCTCCGAATAAACTGGAAGCAGACGATAGCGAGCACGATCGCTTTTATTTGACACCGGTATTCATAAAGTCTTGACAAGGTCGTTAAATAAAAAGCGAGTCACTGTACACATCAGCGCTGCTGTTCGAAGCGATCCAACGCGATCAAGCACTTCACTTGGCGGTGCAAAGGCAGCTACTGTTATAAAAACCGACAAAATGTCGTCAGCGGACGCAAAATATGGAGCTCGGCAAATCTACGCCGCCGGTTGCGATACTTTTATATGGCCATACGTCTGTTCTGCCCTTCGCAACAAACTTCCTATAAAATGTACTCGTATACACACCGGGAAGTTCGGCTGCGCTCGGCGATCTAGGTTTTGTCGGCCAAGGCGAGCGTCAGCCAACGTGCACCCCGATTTAGCTACGCAAACAAAACCTTAATCGGGATCATGCTCTGTGTGAGTGTCCAACTGGCTACCGAATTCGCATTCATAGCCTGCCTTGCTCTGTTCAGCACGGACAGGATTTTCGTCGATATTCACCGAGTTTCAGAGCAACGGCGATCAAGACATGCCGTCCAGTGAACGTTTACATTGTTTATTAGCATATTCAAACCCAACAAAATACGGTCCAATGCATTTTCCGAAAAAGCCTTACCTGAAAAGAAATTCAAAGAAAATGTGTGAATGAGTCAGCGCCTAAGAAGGAGCGCTGACTCTTGACTCCTGGAGCCGCTACTGAACGCGCCCATCGAGATGATGTGCAGTCTACTTGGTTTAAAAAACATCCCATCCACCAGTGGAGTCAGTGCCTCATTCACACAATGATCAAGCTATAAGTGAATCTTTGTGCATGCCTAATTGGGCATTTGGGATTTACAGACACACATCACATGCTGCAATGAAGTTGTCTCCTGCTAAGTCATGTTTGGACATAAACAGGGGACTTGTCTGGACAATGATCACAGTGCAGGAAGGACTATCTGCAACTCGAGCTGGGCATATGGCACCAAGTGTTCTAAATTCTAACCAACCCAGTGACAGTCTTGCGCCAATTTTTTTTTTTTTTTGCTTCAAGATTCCTGGTTGCTTGGCGAATAAAGCCTAAAGTTGTGAAATGAGGGCTGGAGGGCATGTGCTTGGAGATGAGAATAGGCCAATTTAATAAAACTGTTTCGCTTCTGGTTCGTAATTTTCAAACGGATTGGTACACACTTGCTGTTCGGGCATGTAGGTTTTGAGCAGATTGGTGTACACTTTCTGCCGTTTGTCATATTGTTTTACGCGAAAGCGAATCTTTGCTAGTGTCTATTTTTGTTCTGGTGAGCCTCAGAATCACGGCCCCAAGTGGCTTCTTCAACGACGGAACTCTGGAAGCACGATCAGGGATATCTCTCGAGTCATGTAAACCTTCATTTACTCTGTTTTTATCCCCATCGTAGAAGCTTTGGGCACGTCTACCGGAGCCATCTTGGTCATCTGCTAACTTGCTAGCATGTATTAACTCTGAATGAAGGATGAAGGCTGGTAATATTTAAAATTGGGTGCTGGCCTTTGCTTCTTTATGTTGCTGAGAAATACGGCAAGTGCAGTTGATCAAAATGCTAAAGTAGAGCAAGGAGAAAACATATGGCCTTCATTGCCTCTGCCCATTGAAAAAGCATAGAACGGCTGCGCACCAAGATGGATGTCGGCCGGATTTTGAATTGAAGTGGTACACGTGAAACCACCCTATACACAGAGTAGGTAGAAAGCCAAACTAGTTTCAGAGGGAGACTGTGTACAAATGACACTTGCCATGCACCTACCAGAAGGAATAACGAGTTTGAGGGTTGGGCTAATTGGTAGTTGTTAAACATAATGAGATAAAACGGCGCAAAAAGTCATAAAAGGAAGCGACGGACAGGACAGAGCGCTGACTTGCTGCAGTGTTCAAGGTACGAGAGATTACTGTGTTTCTAGTTTCTAACAAAATTTATCCTATCAGCTGCTTTCAGAAACACAGGCAGAGGATGTCCCGTCAGACGACATGAGGGACGACACATCCGACGAGACGTCCCAGGAGCTGCCTGGTGCGAGTACCAGCGAACTGCCTGGTGCAAGTACCGGCGAGCTGCCTGGTGCGAGCACCAGCAAATCTAGGAGCGGCCACAATGCTGGCAGCAGCAACCCTGCTGGCCGTGGAAAGAAGGCCGGTGGTGCCAGTAATGGCACAACTATCATGTTGCCGCAGGTGCCAGAGTCGGGAAAAAGGAAAAGACCCCCGCACCCCTCTGCCACCCTCGCAAAGGCGGTAATTGAGGAGCAGAAGTTGCTCCGTTTAAGTTTGGAAACGGCTCGGGGCCGTGAGTTCACTCTGCGGGAGCAGGAGCTCAAAATTCAAGAAAAAGCACTGGCCGTGCAAGAAAAGCTTGCGAATGCCATGATGGCCTTTTTCAATAAAACAGGCTAGAGCGGAAGCTGTAGCTTCAAAAAAGTGGTGCTGCTTTTTTTTTTTTTTTTTCTTTGTTGACAAATTATTTTGGGCTTACCAGGGAAGTAACATCATCTTAAAACCACAAATAACAAGTTTAGAACAGATAGTGCTTGCATGACATTACAACAGTGACAGCAACAATGGGTATTTATTCACCACAGCTGGGATCCAAAGATACACAGGTCCACATTCCGAAGGTGGACAGTAAATAAGAGTGTGGCAACCATCGGCAAAATAGTAATCATACAATGTGAAATACAATGAACAGGCAAGCTGCATAAACTAGATAGAGAAAAATTAAAAAAGAGCAAGCCACACACAAGCCTGTTAAGGCATGTTCCATCCAATTGTTGAAAACATCTTTCCAAGCCTGCAGCTGAAATGTTCCGAGACATAGCAAAAGAATTGATTACATCATCACATCAAAGCATTTAAAAGTTTACTACAACGCTTAAATCAAGTACACTCTGGAAAAGCTTTTTTTTTTCTCTCCTATACTTCTTTTTACCTTTGGAACCGCAACAAAAAAAAAGTCTGACTCCTTGCGGACATTTACAAATTTTCACCCTTTATATGGTGCATCAAGATACTTTATGGGAGTTTGTGGTTAGTCATTGTTACAATATCAAAACATGTTTCAAGCGCAAACAAATTTGAAAAGAGTACATGACGGCGGACGATGCAGTGTGTAGGCTTCAGAGTGCAGCGGATGCCAGGAGCTGATGGCGCCAATCACGGCATGCAAAGGAGCAACCTTAAGGCTCTCCTCTTTCCTAGAGGGCATTCTTAGGGGCTAATCCAATCAAATGCAGCAGGAGAGAAGAGGGCGATGATGTTACGATTCTAATTCTGGGATTTTAGTAAGAACTACTTAGTGCACCTTATGAACATTGTAAAAAAAGAACTTGGTGTTTTCTTTACATGGGAACGATAATAGAATAACTATATCAAGCAACATCCACAAGTATGAACATATGTGCCAAGGGTCTGGAAGGATTGTTTCCCTCGACAACACTGTTGTGCCACCATTGACCCTGTGCTTAAACTGAAGCAAAAGCCCGAGATATATGTCGATAAACTGAAAGTGCAAGTTTTAACTATCGTGTTCATAATTGTTTGAAACAAAGCAACTTCTTTCTTCAGCAGGGAGAATAATAAAAATAAATTGCAGGGTTTTCTCTTTAGGTTAAAAGCACTAACAAAAAAAAATTGGGGTGTCTGAATGCTTATACAGCCTAGCACTTTGTCTGCCTCAATGGGCAATTTGTCTCCCAGCTGTAGATGAGAAATTTAGCTAGTGCAGTACAACCGCTAGCCTGGGGTCTTTAAAATTCATCACGCAGTAGTGATACACGACCGCACGCCAGTACAATGCGCTCATCCACATCGAAACAGGCAGGGGTGGGGATTGAACCCAGGATCCCCCAATTCTGCAGCGTGAGCTTTTGCTCCACGTGCTCCAAGCTCGTGTGTGCTAGCCTACTCAGCCACCAATCCTCCTAAAGCTCTAACATACCAAAAAAAAAACATCCCTGAAAAAAGAAAATACAAAAGAGTATTTTTCAGTGCTATATTGTTCAATAGATGTCAATTGATGAATATTTCCACAACCAGAGTACCAAACCGCTCACGAGTCTCAGTATGGGAGAAATGCATGCGGATATAATCTCTTGCGGTCTAGGTCTTCGCTATCAATAAGAGCACTCAATATGCGGAGCTCTGATCAATATTGTCATTAATTTTGAAAAGAGTCTGATTCGCATTTAATTGATAATCACTATGTTGGTCAGCCACACGCAATCGCTTGCCCTTTATCGACCGTTTCACTGTTCTGAAATATCTCAAATAAAAGTGTGTGTTACGTTTTTGGATCAAGCTTTTAATATGAAAATAGAATGTGCGTGATTGCAATTATTGAATTTTTGGGACGCTTCAAGCTTATAAATTAAGTTACTGCCACAGAAAGTCAATGTCAGAAAAATCATTAGATATGCAAGTTCCTTGAAACAGTCGTACTAAGTGGAGAAGCTATTACAAAAAAAGGTTTCCATTAAGAGTCTTGTTCTCCAAATATGTTGGGTAGCTGAATTACTGTATGTATGAGCAAAGTATGAAATTTGGACATAGTAATGCTGCACATACATACCGGTAAACAGACCAGCACATATGCAGGTGGCAGGGAGGGATTGACGATAAACCATGCAACTTCCGAACAAACAGTAAGGCCAGCTAGCTTCACCAAGAGGTGTGGGCATGCACAGGGCTAGTGCAGTAAGTTGGCTTCACATTTCGTTTGGAAGTTGGATGATCTTCCATCGAGTCCTTCCTGCCACTTGTACATGTGATGTCATCACTAGATTACGTTGCGTGTTGCTGCGTGTTCCGCCTATGGAGGTAGGCTGCTATGGCTGCCCTCACGTCCTGTCCATTTCCAGCGGCAACATCCGTTCTACAGAGAGGTTGCAGGAACATGCGGTCGTAGAGCTGCACCTCGGTGACCCACTGTGGCTCAACCCCATCATTGAAGTGCTCGCAGATGTTGTTGAGCACACAGCAGGCTCGGATGATGACCCTGGCATTGTCTACATGGCACTCCATTCTTTTCATTATGCAGCGAAAGCGTGCCTTCACTCTGCCAAAGGCGTTCTCTACTATCCTTCGTGCTCCCGAGAGCTGCTTGTTGAAGCTAGCTTCCGGAGAACTTTCCTTTAAGCCCTTGCGCGGATAGGGCTTGAGGAGGTTTGATGTGAGAGGGAAGGCCTGATCGCACAAGATCAGTGGTGGCACAACAGCTCCATTCACAGTGACAAGCGGAGCTCGAAACAACGGTCCTTCCAAGACCTTTGCAAGCTCCGACCTGCGGAAGACGTGTGCGTCGTGGCATCGCCCTGGTGCTCCCACGTTGACATAGCGGAACCTGTAGCGGTGGTCCACCAGAGCCAGCAGAATGATGCTATACCTGAAAAAGAAGCATTGCATGCAGGCAGATTTAATTATGAAAATCCCAACACTTTGAAATGCTTCGTTTGGCTGTTTGGCACGGAGATCTTCTAATTGTTGATATCCCAAATGTTAAATGGATACAGAAAAAGTCTGGAGCTCATCTCTTTGCTTATGGAACTTCACCAACACCAATATTTCGTAGGATAATGCAAGAAAACATAATTTGAACTGAATACAATGATAACCAAGAACCATCTCGTGGATGTCTTGAAAGCTTCAATGGAATGTCGTGCCAATAACATGCAAGTAAAGGCCTGTTCACACTTGCAACTGAGTAGGACGGAGAGAGACAAGACCCTCTTGGCGATGGCCTAGGACAATTTACAAACCCTGCTAGAACCAGACAAGAAAACGACTGAGCCTGGAGTATAGCTGTCCGACGGCAGAAACTGTACTTCAAGCCATCATTACCGAGTGCCCCAATTATGACAGGAACAGGGACAATGTGTACACCAGACTCGCTGTCAAGAGGCAAGTTTCTACGGATAATATTGTTTCTGGTGCTATTAAAAAGATGCGAAACATCTGTCAATGCACCCTTGAATTTTTTTTGTGGTAAAGGACTCTTGCAGAATACACCAAAACAACAGAGACCTGGGGTGGGGGGGGGGGAGGGGAGGGAAGGGAGGGAGGGGAGGAAGGGAGGGAGGAGGAGGGAGGGAGGGAGGGAGGGAGGGAGGGGAGGATCAGTGGCCGAGAGGGCTAGCGCACAACAGCTCGGAGCATGTGGAGCGAAAGCTCGCGCTGCAGAACCCAGGGATCCTGGGCTCAATCCCCATCACTGCTTGTTTCGATCTGGATGAGCATCGTACTGGCGTGTGGTCATGTACTGCTACTGCGTGGTGCTTGTTAAAGACCCCAGATTAGCGATTGTACCGCACTGGCTAAATTGCTCATCTACAGCTGAGACACCAGACGCCCACTGAGGCAGGCTAACTTCCGGCTGTGTAAACAGACGACAATTTGCATACAGAGACGTATGGTTCAAGAGAGCTCTCGGGCTAAACCCTTAACTAGCCAATGACAGCACCAGCGCTAGATGCTGGCGTAACCTAGGGAAAGTTAAACACAAACAGGCCACCACCACCACCACCACTACATACCAGCCCTTGTAGTTGTGGTAGTCGCTTGCATTTTCTTGTGGTGGTGACACCGGGAAGTGGCACCCATCCAGCGCTCCAACTCCTTGCGGAAACTCCAACGCAGCTTGAAACTCACGGATATGTTCCGGCAGCTCCTTTGGGGTCATCAGTTTGACCCATTCGGGCTCGAGGACAGCCACGATCGTCTCGCAAAACTCCCGGTACAGTTCATTGACTGTCGATCGGCCGATACCGAACAGGGTGGCCACCGTCCTGTCCTCGGCCGTGGAGCATAGTTTGAAGAGGGCCACTCCCACCCGCTTCTCCATCGCGATCGTCTCCCGCATGCAGGTGACTTGTCGCTCCATGTAAGGCCGGCACACATCAACAAGGTAGCGAAATGTAGCTCGCCTTACACGGAACGCCTGTTTGAAAAAGTACTCCGGCATGTTGGGCAGGGTGTCTTCGAACCATCGCTCGTGCCTCGCGAAGGACTGCACCTGCCGATGCACTGTGAGGCAGTCCACCGCTGTTGTTGCGAGCACGAAGTTATTTGCCAGCATTTGGTCCTCCAAGCGATCGGCCTCACTTTTTGCCGATGACACGGCAGCTCGGACGGCAGCCAAAGAGCTTTGCTGCTGCGCGTGCATGCATAAAAGTAGAGCGACCTGAGTCTCTGGCGGCTCTGAATGTTCCATTGTTGACACTCTCAGAAGCAAACAAATCGAGCAGACGAGGAACCGTCCTGACCGAGCAGACGAGGAATCACGGCAGCGCGAGGAACGATGGCGAGCTCAGTCGCTCAGAAGCTCAGTTTTCGAGCGGGAACATCATTGTTGCCTTTAGAGCGGGTCATACCAGCCAGTACCAACCAAAAGTCGCTTCGCTAGCAAAAACACTGCGTGTATTTGTTGAAAAAACACTATATAAACACAATCCATAATATTTTTTACACAAATAAATGGCAATACATCAGTAATTTTGTTTTATTGAGCCATTTATTTTGATAAATGAGTGACTGCTGTCTCTAACAAATCGAAAAATACAATTGCAATAAACATCTCCTAAATGGCATTCGAGATGTTCTTCGACACGTCTGACACCCGAAAGCTTGAATGACCTTTGAGAATCTCGAAGGCCTTTGGCCTAAATGGCATTTGAGTTGACCGTCTGACAGGGGTATTAGAGTACTCTATTAAACTTGAGGAAGAAAACGAGAAGGGAGTGTTTAAGTTTAATTATCCCCACCAACCCGCTCGTTCTGTCGTTATAAAGGGTTATCTCTTTTGGAAACAGCAAAGCCCGGCGACTGACATTAAAACGAGCGTGTTGGTAAATATAGTTGTGTTTGTATTCTGCCCGGAGACTAGTTGGGTCGAAGTCAGCCTCCTTGTCAACTATAACCGTTTGTGAAGAGTGGGCTTCTCCCGAGATGAAACGTTAGCGCCGGCTGGCGTGTTCTTTTGGAAAAAGGGAAGGGGAAAAAGAAAGTTTGAGTTACTGCAGAAACTACCTCGAAAGCTCCTCTCCCGATATGAAGCTTGAGGCATAGTCTCGGTTACCTTCTCGCGCATCGCCTGCTCGGATCTATTCTTCACTTTCTTTCGTACAGCCCCTGTTCCGCACAGCCGTCGTGGATGTGCGTAATAGAGGGAGGAACAGATTCGAGCATCATCTGGACGCCGTCATCATGCCAGACTTCAATGTCGTGGGACCGACTCGTGTGTGTTTCTTCGCCCCGCTGAACTTTGTTTCTCGAATGCGGTTTTTTCTGAACGTTTTTTTTTTTTTTTTTTTGTTTTTCAATGTTTTCTTACTAACTGTTTGTTAGCACTGTTCAGTTGTTGGGTTTATTTCGTCATGGCGTAGCGGCCTGGCGGTGATGTAGAGAGCGTGTTCGCACGCATTTGGTTGCGTCCCGTTTAGGGAATGCCCGGGGGAGTTGGTTTTTGTTCTTGCCATGTGCGGCTGAGTTTTCCCGTCTTTATTAAATTATTGATTTTTTTTTTTTGTTTTACTTTTACGTGCCGTCGACTTCTTTGTCTGACTCTCCACCAGGCGTGGACCTATCGCCTTGCCACCGCTCGAACCTAAATACTTCATTTTTTTTTAACGCAATTTTCGTTAAGATCGGAGTTGGGCAATTTAATTCCTATTTATTTATTTTTATTTCCTACCCCTCTCCATGACACACTCTCTGTATGTTTCGCACCGTTTCTGTGTCACCACGTTTGTGTATTACGGAAGTGAAAGGACATTCCCTGGTGGCCTGTGCGATGTGCGGTGAACAAGCCCCAGTGTTTGGTTTCGTAAAGAATTGTATATAATATATCGACGATGTGGTGACTTTCTTTGTCTTAGTAATATGACAGCTAATAGCTAGTCGTGCTAGTTTACTTTGAAAGGTTTATAAATCGAAACAATACAACGTCTGTGCCTTTTGGTTATTGAAAGTCTACTAGGCCTGCTGATTTGGTTAGATATGTATCTCATGGTTCCCGCTCTTATCCAAACATACATAAATATTCAATACCACAAAATCCGTTTATAATTGATTACAAAATGCAGAAGAAAATTTAAGAAAACTTTTTCACAATTCATAGAGACGCATGGGTCGCTATGTCTGACTTAGGTCTTGCAAAACAAAGACGTCTTTTTCCGATATTGAGGCCTAAATATAAAACATGCAAACAAAATATACACTTTCTAGGCTTGATTTTTGTGTAGACAACTATCATATCTACATTTGAACAAAAATAAAAAAACTAAAAAATGGGTTTTTTGAGAAAATCAATTTCAAAATTGGTACTTTTTGGTTTTTGCATAATATTAACGTAAACGTACCGCAAAGGATATTTTATAGAGCCAAGGAATTTTATAATAACTAAAAAGAGCGTGTTTTGGGCTTTCCGTGGACATAAAACATATCGGTGTAACCCAAGTAGATCGCCAGAAATTAATTGTCAAAGTTCGTCAACAATTGACCGAGAAGGCATTTTTGACATTTTTACAGAAAAAAAGCGAAAGGCCTAAAATTATTTCATGGTATTGGAGCCTTCTAAATGTGTCCACAGAGTGCTTCAAAAAAGATAATATAATGTGGACTGAAAATCCATGGCGGTAGATCAAGCGAAACATCCGACCCACGACGGGTGTGAAAAACACTGCTTTTCGCCGCGGCCTCTTTAAAAATTCATAAGTCGAGAACAAAAAATCCGACGAACTTGCAGTTTGTGTCGACTGCGGTTTTAGAAACGGCGCCATAACATATATTTTTTTCATCGAAATTAAAAATTCGACCCTTTTTGCCTGCACGATTTGAGATGAAACCACCCACCTCGTCGATATACCACACGTGGTGATACCGGAAAAAGGGTGCGTAGTTTATCGCTTTGCTGCAAAATACTGTGATGTTTCCTGAGAATATTGTTTAAATTTGGAAGGCGGGCTGAATATGTAACCACCAGGTTTGCGTGCTCGTTTTGTGACATTTTGGGTTGGGGTTGATTGATAACTTGCTCTCGGTCGAGAGCGCGTGCTTTTTCAATGGCCTTATCGACAATGGCTGGTGGATAATTCTGCTTGGATAGCACGAGTTTCAGATTGCTGGCGTTGCGTTCGAATTCATCTAAACTGGAGCATATTCTCCGGAATCTGTGAGCCTGAGAAAAAGGAATACTTGTTTTGCAATGTTTAGGGTGGGAGCTCTTGAAGTGCAGGTACTGTTGACGGTCCGTCGACTTCCTGAAGAGTTTTGTTGTAAGAGAATTCCCGCTGATCTCGACTGTCACGTCAAGAAAATCAATGCTCGTTTTAGAATAACTGTGCGAAAACGTAATACTGGGGTGGAGACCGTTAAAGTCCCGAATGAAGTCTGTGAGTGCTGACTCCCCGTGTGCCCATACCATAAATATATCATCGATGTATCGCTTATAAACCAGAGGTTGCAGAGAGCGACTAGACAAGAAGCGTGACTCTAATACCCCATTCACACGGCAAGCATAAAGGTACCTTTAACATAGGTCCCTTTGCAATCGGCAAATCAGCCCACGCTCTTGGATCGCGAGCACACGCCACGCGCGGAGGATTGCGAACTGATTCGCCGCTGGGCATAAAGGTCCGTTAGCTAAAGGTACCTTTATGGTCGTGTGAGTGGGGTATAAATCGGCCTTTTGTGTGCGCTCCGGTTGCTCGGGGGTGATTGTGCTTAGGAGCTGTAACAAAGACTGCCAAATACTACAAATCAATTTATTTCATTTTATTGATTTAGATTAACATTGTTTATAATTACTAATTTCAAAGTATTACGATAATTTTTTTTGCTCCTGTTCCGAATATTTTTAATACCCTTCATAGTAACTCTTCCTCTTCCACGCGAACATCAACAAGAAGAAGAGGACATTTCACAACCATTCACCCTGAAGAAAAGCGGTCCCCGCTTGAAACGTCGGTGCAGTAAAGAAAGGCCTTTCCTGGATCTCCTCTACTTTCGTTATATATATATATATATACGTGTATACGGCAGAAAAACTCACTTGACACGGTTGTTGGAGTTTTTAAAACGTATTCTTCGTAAATTTAATCGACGTTTCGGCCTGAGCCAGACCTCTGTCTCAGACCGAAACGTCGGCGAACTGTTTTAAAAACTCCAACAACTGTCTCAAGTGTGTTTTTCTGCCGTATATACTTTTCGTCATCCTGCGCTACGCTTTTTCCTTATTTCTACCTCTCTCTCTATATATATACATATATATACGCAGACACAAGAACGTGGGCCGAAATCGATACGGCCACCATGCAGATTCTTGAAGAAAGGCTGGGGCATTTCCCGCGGCGGTCATACACTAACAAAGCATGGTGAATGCAGCCACTCAGCACTTCTCTGCAGACTGATCTGCTTGCACCCTGGTGCAAGCAGATCAGTCCGCTTAGAATGTACATAAAAGACGTGCGCGCGATGCACGTAAAACGACAGAGCCATTTCGAGCGAGACAGCGAGGTTGAACGAAGACCCATTCAGCTCATGAGAGGCCGTGTCGGAGTCGGGGAGCCCTCACTTTGGGTGTGCTGGGCCTCATCAAGGTGGCTACTTCGAAACTTCTTGCGCGAATAGTCGGTAACAGGTTATGATTTCCGGTGAAGCTCCTCTCACCTCTTTCCACTTCAGCGAAGCGAACGCTAAAGTGGAAAGAGGTGGGAAGAGCTTCACCGGAACTCTTCAGCTTTCAACACTACAAAAGATTCAGTTTCCAGGTTTTCCCGCCAGCTTCCGCTACCTTCCCACTTTGTCAGATCCTGCTCCGCGGGTCGATGAGTTTACTGCTTACCCGGTTTGTGTCGCACCAGGGGTCTTAATCGACTCCGATGTCTCTCTTCTCCAAGAGGGGCCAAGGTTGCTGGGTGCCTGAATAGCTAATAGGACGAAGACGATAGTAGCTACGAGTATTGCTACCAAGTAGCGCAGCAAACACTTTCCTCCAGCCATCATGTAGCGCGGCAGGGTTTTAACCGCCTAAAATAATACTTGCACCCTTACTGAGACCCTGGTACTGCGCACAGAATGAATCGCGTGAATATTATGAACACGTACCTTCCGCTTAAAGGTTTGATGCTTGTTGAATGTTCCCAGGAAACGTGCACCTGCGCCCGGCGGCATTAAAAATAAAACTAATCCACGTGCTTGTCCCAGACAGCGACG